TGATCCTACTGTGTAAACCTCATCCTAGGCTAGAGTACTTGAAGCAGGACCGAATAAGAATATTTTTTTTCTTAACTAGGTTTTTGCATAGGTAGTGAAGCATGTGTCCTTACCATATGTGTTCCTAACCTGGCCTTCACCTGGCTCTCTCCATCTGCACAGATCTGTACTGATCAATCAATACTGCATTTAGAAAATCTGTGGTCCCTTGGTGTGCATGTGTCTAGTTTCCTTCTGAATGAGCTACTGGGAGTTTCGGAGATTTCTTACAAACTTTAATCTGTTCTGGTCACCTGGGCTGGTAGCTTTGTAATGAGGAATGGATAGGAAACCTTATATTCCTAAGGACGATGTTTTAAAATTTCCTTTTACTTGTTAGCCAGTTGATTATGTAGGATAGACTTAGGTTGTGCTTCCAAAATAAATAGTTCATGTAGGTTGCAACAGAAAGTTAATCAGAAACTTGTTGGCCATGGACTATATTGGGAATCAAGACAAATATTTGATCTTTAAATAAGAAATGACAAGTAAATGACTTGGCTAGAATTAGGCTCAATAATGGATCAAAGTCTCTCTTTCGTCATGACAGTGATGGTGATAGGATCACACTAAGGGCAAGAATGATAAAATGTGTGTATGAAAGCACATGTGGCAATCCTACTGATTATCTTGGGATTTTTTTGTGTGTGTGCCAGTACTGGGACTTGAACTCAGCTTGGGCACTACTATGTCTTAGCTTTTTTGCTCAAGGCTAGATATCTACCACTTCAGTCACAACTCCCTCTCCAGCGTTTTGTTGGTTAATTGGAGATAAGAGTATCACAGACTTTCCTGCCTGGGCTGGTTTTGAACTGTGATCCTCAGATCTCAGCCTCCTGAGTAGCTAGGATTACAGGTATGAGTCACTGGTGACTGGTATGATTGTCTTTGGGATGAAGGTATAGCATACTCTATTTTCGATAGTGTACATTTGTCTGATTTTGAGGTTATACACATATACACACAATGTATTTCTATGGTAGGTAGAAAAGCAATCAAAATTTGACCCAAAAACAAAGCAAGCTTTCATGAGAATTAATGGCATTGATGCCCACTAGTTGTCTCTCTTTCCATATGGAAGTAGAACTCTACATCACACCCAGCAAGAGCTTTTCCACAGCAAAGAAGGAAACCTGTGTTGGCTTAAGACTCATAGCTGGTTGTAAAGGCCATGGCATTAGAAGGTATCGGGACATTTACAGCTCTCCTTTTAATGCAATGGCTTGGTATAGACACTTTCAGGGACTGAAAGTGCTATCAGTTGATACAGAGGAGAAAATGACACAGAAAAATCATACTCAAATATAATCTGATCACATTTGCAAAAAGCAGAAGTCATTACTCACTCAATGAAGACATTAACTATGAATTGGCCCCTTTAATAAAGTTTCGAGGTACCTACTTGAAGACCTCAAGTGACAAATCACCTCTGTGTAGCAAAAAACAATAATGATAGATTTTTTAGAGAGATTTGTCTTACAAGAACATTCAAGCAGAAGATCCCAGGGCAGAAGTTCTAACTGCCTAGGTTTAAAGCAGTATGTAGAATAAGCTTGAGAGAAAGCAAATCAAAGTTACAGCAGGAAAGAGGCGAGGGCATAATGCAATCCCATAGATTCTTTGGAGAAAAACACTTCATACTGGGGCCTGGCTGGGCAAAGGCTTTAACCAAGAACCTGTCTGGCATGTTTGGTAAACAGTAAAGTGGCAATGATGGGAGAATAGGTTATGGAAAGCCAACTGGTACTGAGCTCTCAAGGTCAGAATAAGGAGTTTGGGCTTTAAGTGAAATGGAGAGTCATTGCAGGTTTTCAATAGGCTTGTGATGCAATGTGATTTACACATCCATTAGTCACTGAAGACATTTGAAGGTATTTAGGCAATCAATAATTGTAAAATGGTACACATGTAAACTGATTGAATATTTTAATCCCTGGTGTTGCAATCCCATTTTATTTTATTTTTTAGGTCATGCATATTTTTTTGCAGTACTGATTATTGAACGCAAAGATTTGCACTTATTAAGCAAGCACTCTACCACTTGAGCTATATCTCCCTTCCTTTTTATTCTAGTTTGGTTTTCAGATAGGGTTCTGATTTCATTCAAGCTGGTTTGGGACCATGATCTTCCCACCTCTGCCTATTGAGAAGCTGAGATTACAGCCATGTTAATAGAGCTTAATTTTAGACTGTAATTATCTGGAGAATTTACCACTTTAAAATTTTCCAGTGTGCAATGTACACATACATAGGGTTTCTTTTTATACACTTATTATTTTTCTTGGTGTTCATTTGAAATCTTTATTTTTATTATTATTATTATGGGGCTTGAACTCAGGGCCTGGGCATTGTCCCGAGCTTTTACACTCAAGGCTAGTGCTCTACCACTTTGAGCCACAGCACCACTTCTGGTTTTCTGGTAGTTAGAAATTAGAATCTCATGGATTTTCCTGCCTGGACTGGCTTCGAACCACAATACTCAGATCTCAACTTCCTGAGTAGCTCAGATTATAGGTAAACGCCACTGGCGCCTGGCTATTTGAAATCTTTTAAACTAAGTGCCATCTAATGTGTATGCTTAATATTGATTTTCATACAACATTGAACAAAATCAGTACTGAAGTGGCTTGATTAAAATGTTTTATGATTTAGAATTACAGAACAAAGAGTAACAGATAACATTACTTTGTGCCTTTTATGAATAAAAATATTTTGGAGGCTATGTGTGTACTAGTGTCATACAAAGTCTGTCTCATTTTGATTTAATGAAATAAATATCCTCTATTATTTTCCATTCAAGGGAGAAAGTTAATTTATTACTTGACATTAGTGTGATTTGTTCATTAAAAAGGAGTGTTTAGGGTCAGATGTGATGGCTCATGCCTTTAATCCCAGCTATTAGGGAAGAGCTAAAAAGAAGTTCAAGGTAACTCAAAGCAACAAGTAACTGAGAACCCCATGTCAAACAGAAGCCAGGCATGGTGGCATGTGTCTGAGGTTCCTGGCACAATGTAGGTAAGAAGGATTGAAGTCTGAGGCCTGTCCCTTACAAAATCTAAAAAATAACTAAAACAAAAAAGAGTTGGAAGCCTGGTTCAGGTAATAGAGTACCTGCCTAGCAAGCATGAGGCCATAAGTTCAAACCCTAGTACCTCCCCTCCCTCTACAAAGGGGGGACTTAAGATTTTGATGGGTGAAAGCCAAGGATAGGAGTAGGTAAGTCAATGAATACATTAGTCTTATGTTAAACCTTGTGACACAGGTGAAACTTGGTTTTTTCTTTGTCTTTCAATTTAGAGACTTCACAGTAGCTCCAGTGCCTGGTACAGGAACTAACCCACAGTAAATGCTCATTAAAGATTTATTAGGGGGGGACCCATTTCCCTAGGGGATCTCTTTCATTAACTTGGTAGGGACTTGGTATGTTGTCTATCTCTGAGAACACACATTTTAAAAGACTGCCTGCCACAGGAAGTGGGCATCCTCTGTTTAAACATATGGAATGTGAATGGCTAAACACCAGAGTCAGATGGAGTTATTTTAAGGAGGGAAATTTCCCCAGAGAGCCTCAGATCACATCAATGGACCACTATGCACTTTGATAGTCACTGAGTCATATGAGAGTTGAAGAATTGAGAGTTGCATTTGGTGAGACAGACTGTAGACAGAATATCTGGAATGGTTTCTGTTTTTTGAGCCCTGTGCAAAAAAATCACTGAGGTGTTTGATTCTACAGCCGTTCCTATCAACTTGTAGATTATTCGCTGATGGATCGTGTTATTTGAACTTTGCAGGTGCAGCTCTTCCCCAGGAACTAGTATTTCAAAGCCTGTCAACAGTGACTAGAAGGTGGGGATGGGTGGCCCCTTAGATGCCAAACTGAACTGCCTAAGACAGCCGTCTGCTCGATTTATACGGGTATGCAGTCACTGACAGTGCCAGGCTGAAACATCCTTGGATTTAGCTTGTGGCTCCCACACTCTGGAGAGGCCGGTTTACCGAGGCTGGTGATAATCACTGATGATAAAAACGGATGATAATCAAAGCAAACCAAAGCCGGGCAGACGTTAAAGTGGTGAAGGTAAATTGTATTTAGGACTACTCCAATAGAAAGTCCTCAGTAGAGAACGGGCTCTACTATGCACAGACTAGGGATAAGTAGAGGTACAGTGTCAAAGAACAGAAAAAAGGTACACGAATGGGAGGGACGAAGTTGGGTGAATTCTGGCTCTACCAACCTAACAAGATTCCTGGAGAAAGCAGGCCAGCGTGATCAGAGAGATACCAAAGGTGGGAATGAAGACTTCTGATTAGACATGGGGGGGGGGGGGTTCTAGCTCCACTGTCCAGGCAGAGTTACTTACTATATAAAGGTTTACAAGATGGATAAATGTGGGTCCTAGAGAAGGTTCAGAAGGCTGCTTCAGGTTGGGCTGGGGGCGTGGGATCCGTTGTACACAAATGTTCTTGCACAGCGATCAATAATGCTTGGCAAGAATGCTTTGGGATCTTGGAAGAAACTTTAAGGTTCTTACAGCCCGAGCCCCAGAGCAGGCTGGAGTTTCCCAACCCCTTGTCATCTCTCTTCCATCCTCCGGATCTCATCACTGGACAGACAGCAAGACAGTCAGCTCTGCAGCGTCCCCCTGCCACTCAGCGCAGGAAAGGGGAGAGAGGGAGGGGGAGGAAGGGAGGGGGGAGGGGAACCACAAGGGGCGGAGCGCAGGCAGCTAGTCCCGCCCATCCCAGAAGGCCGCGCCCACACTCGGCCCTCCCCTCCTTCCCATTGGCTGTTCAGCACCGCGCATCACGCAGGCGACCTCGGCGTGCCCTCCCAGCAGGGCGGGGCTCCGGACCGGCGGGTTGGGCCTGCGCGCACGCGCAGAGGCGCGGGCCTGGGTCCAGGCGGGGGAGGAAGGGGCGGTGTTCCCGGTTTCCTGGGTTACCTGAGGGGGCGGGAACGGGCAGTTCGCGCGGCGGCGGCGGCGGCTGTGGAGACCGGAGGTTCTGCGGGTGAGGGAGCGCGCGGCGTCCACCAAGCTGGTAAGGCGGCGGCGCCGGCGGCGTCGCGGAGGGCGGGGATCGTGACCTAGAGTGGCCCGGCAGGGGTCGCGGCCATGCTGCGGGCGCCAGGGACGCGGCTCGCGCGCTCGGGGCTCGCATGGCCTCGGGGCTCCGAACCTTCCCGGGACGCGGGCGTCCGGACAGCGGCGAGTGGGCCGGGGGACCGGCGGGCTCCGCGGCCGGGGCCGCGACGCGGACTGGACACTAACTTAACTTCCTGGCGGACTGGTGCGACAGGCCGGTGCCCTCACCGCGCGGCTTGCGGGGTGCCGCGGCCCCCCTCGGCTCGCGGGGCGCGGGGTGACGAAGGGAGGTGACAGGTGCGCGCCGCCTCCCAGCGCACCGCCGCCTCCCGCGCCCGTCGCCCCGCCCCGGCCCGCCCTGGCCCGGCTGGCCTGTCAGTGCCGGCGCCACACCGTCTTCCCAAGACAGCCCTGCTCCCCAAGAGAGGTCTCCTCCAAGATAGACCCCCTTTCCAAACCCCCTCTCCAAGACAGCCCTGCTCCCCAAGACAGTCCTGCTCCCCAAGAGAGATCTCCTCTAAGACAGACCCCTCCCCAAGCAGATCCCTTCCCCAAGACAGACACCTCCCCAAGACAGATCCCCTCCAAGACTGAGCCCTCCAAGACAGACCCCCTCCCCAAAACAGACCCCTCCCCAAGACAGACCCTCCCCAAGACCCCTCTCCTTAGGTCCCCCCCTTAAGTCCCCTCCCCAGACCTGCTGACATTGGGGAGCCCTGACTGAGATGCCCCCCCCATTGTTGATGGATCAGGTAGGCTTTAAGAAATGCCCTCATTCTTTTTTTTTTTTAATTTAATTTAATTTTATTTGTGAACATACTGTACAGAGGGGTTACAATTACATGGGCAGGATAATGCGTACATTTCTTACCAAGCATTGCAGCCTCCCCCCTCCCCCCCTAATCCTAATCCTTCTCCTTCCTCCCCCCCCCCCAGCCCCCCCCCACCAACGTTGTAAAGTTCGTTTTGGACATGACAACTTGTACTTCTCATTGTTGCAACAGGTCCACCTGTATCCTTAAACAACTGGTTTTTCCCCATCTCCTCCACAAGTTATACTGACATCAAATATAGTGAAAGCAGGGGTTATACTGTGGGGGAGGGACATACAAAGCAACAAAGAGATAATCTTATAAATGCGTTAGAAACACATGCATGAAAGAAAAAAACATTAAAATACATATCTAAGGGTTCATTTTCCTGACATCACATTATCTGACCTTTTCCGCTTGACTCATACATATACTAGATATTGCAAATAAGGGAAACCATGGGACCTATGTTTCTTTGGGCCTGGCTTACTTTCCAAGTTTTTCCATTTCCTAACAAATGGGGCAATGTCATTCTTTCTGATGGAGGCATAGAATTCCATTGTGTATATATACCACATTTTCTTGATCCATTCATCTACTGAGGAATGCCCCCATTCTTGGCAAACAAAAAATCCACCCCTATCCCCCCACCCCCAACCATAAGCTTGGCAGAAGATCCACCTCCAGGAATTGAACTCGGTTGGTACTTAATAGGGTTTGGTTTAAGCACATAGAAAATTGCAAGAGAATTGGAGCTTGTGTTGAATCCATTCTTGTTGAACCGGGACTAGCGTTTCCTTAAAGATCGAATATACCACTTAGGCCCTCTTGGGTTTGTTTAACTGAGGAAGCAAACCAGGATGATTGAGCCTTTCTTCCTGAAGATTCTTGACTGTATTAAATGTCCACACCTAGATGCCTTGTGCTAATAAAGATGTTGACTCTAAGCTTTCTTTCATTTTAGAAATGTACTTAACTAATATATGGTATCTGTTGCCAGCAACTTTTCCTAGTGATAGCCTTTTGCTGTCCTCTATGTTGATACTGCAGTAGGACTTTCTGGAAGAGGTAGCAGAAGGAGAAAATAAGATAGTGTAATTCTATTTCCATGAAAATATTTTGTAATCTATACAATTATATAAGTACTTTGTAAGTATTTGTTGAGCAGCTACTTTTTGCTGGACACTTACAAAGAGCTAAGTCCCGCTAGTTGGGGCCTAGGGTGATATGTAGAATATTGATGTCAGATGATATTAGGGACTGTAGCAAGGGAGAAGGAGGACAGAGCCAAAACGGGTTGCAATTTTGTTTGGAGGTAGCCAGGCCAGCCTTCCTAGAGGGTGGGACTTGAGCAGCAGGAAGGAAGTGAAGGGTAATTCATGCCCCTTTCAGGGAGGAGGCAGTGCAGATAGAGGGAAAGGTTTGCAAAAGCCCTAAAGCAGGAATGTGCCTGGGTGGGTTTGCAGACTGTCCAGAGGCTGATGTGGCTGCAGTGGAGTGAGCGAAGTAAAGTTCATAGGAAGAATGACTGAGAAGTCAGTAGGATAGGAGAGCAGATTGTGGAAGGCCTTGTTAGGGAAGTGAGTCATCCTTTGAGTAAAAAATGATATCTGATTTGTGGCTAGATGGTAAGTAAATAGACCTTGTTTGGGGGGGAGGGGATGGGCTGGCGCAGCAACATCAGGAATTCCAGACCTGGGACTGTAGTTATCATTCCAGCCAGAGATGATGGAGCTTGGATCAGAATGGAATTAGCCCTAGAAAGAGAGAGTGGTGGTGATTGCTGCAGAGATAGAGAGGTAAAGGACACCAGGTTTTTTTCCAAGTAAAAAGAAAGATAGCTATGTACTGAGATGAGATCTATGAGAAGAGATGATTAGGGGGTAGAAGACAAAACTAGACATTCAAGTGGAGATTATTAGCAGTATGCCTGTGCATGTGGAGGATTTTCATGTTACCTTGAGTATTCTGTAGGTTTATTATGCTTCCCACCCCGTAGACTGACAAATTTTATTTCATATTCATTTTCTTTTTGGCTCTTTTGAACCAACCTCGTCAGTCTTTTTTTTTCTTAATATGCTTTTGTTTTTCTTTGCTTAAACTCAGGCCATACATTTGTTACTTTTGGTTGTAGAGAAACTATATTATCCAGAATTTCAGAGTACCTTTTCAGTCTGTTATCACATTTAACTTCAATGCATTCAGTCTTTTTCTGAATTATCTTTAGATGCCTGGCTTTTTTCACCCCCAGAAATACTATCAAACGTGGCTTCACGTGGCCATTTGTGAAATTACAATGGGAATGACCTGAATATTTAATACTTTACTAATAAGTCAGTAATATACAAGGATTATCCTCATTCTTTTGTTTCATTAAAGTTGGCTTGAAATAAATGGGTCATAACATATTAAGTAGAACTTTTTATTTTTACAACAAATTACACACTTGTAGCAATAGAATTTGACCTGTAAAATTTTGATAAAAAATATACAACTCTGGCAATTTAAAAGTAAATTAGAACTAGGAAATAAACCAATTATTTAAAAATACATTTCAACTGAAACATACCCTGAAAACATGTAAAAATCTGGCAGATTAATAAATAATTATAAACTGATGTTGGCGTCAGTGGGGATGCAGTATTCTCTTTGATACTGCTCTTTTGCTGCTGCTTTTCACCAGTGTTGGCCTTGTATCTTTTAATTTCCCTGGCCTTGCTTTTAGTAGTGGAAAGAGGTTTCATGCATTTGGAAATTTTGAGTGCTTACCAAATGTAACTTCTGGAAAAAAAAATAGAACAAATGACAATATCATGAAGGAGTATTACTTAAAACTGAGCCACTGGCTCATCTTTTTTTTTAAATATCGTGAGTGGTTTACATATTCAATGAAACTTTTTTTTTTTTGGTCAGTTGTGGGGCCTGAACTCTGGACCTGGGCTCTGTCCCTCAGCTCTTCAGCTCAAGGGTAGCACTCTACCACTTGAGCCACAGTGCCCACTTCTGGCTTTTTTTTCTGCTTATGTGGTGCTGAGGAATCGAACTCATGGTGCTGAGGAATCGAACTCAGGGCCTCATGCATGCAAGGCAAGCACTCTACCCACTGAGCCACTTTCCCAGCCCTGACCCTCTTAATTAATTGGAAAAGGAAACAATTTTTCCAAAAGGCCAATTATTGTTCAATTGTGAATCTTTGAAACCGAAACCCCAAAGAGATAAGGAAATGAGAGCTTCTAGTTGTCCAAATAATTGGAAAAAAAGATAGATGACTGATAAGAGTTACACACATATTTAGAAACATTCATAAAACAACTGCTACTAATCTTTAAAGGAAAGATGTTCATTACTACTTAGTAATTAAGAAGGAATGAACTATATAGCTCATGCAACAAAATGGATAATTCTCCAAATACGTAAGACTATCTGAAAAAAAAGCCAGACCACAAAGAAAAAAAAAGTACTGTATAGTGTATGATTCCATCCATGGAATGCTGAAAAATTCATAGTAATCTACAGTGGCAGAGAGTGTATCAGTGATGGCTGGTCACAGGGTGAGGGTAGGTGGAGAAGGAAGGATAACAATGGTATACTGAGGCACTTTGGTAGTGATAGCTGTGTTTACTGTCTTGATTGTGATGCTGGTTTCATGGGTGTGTACATATGTTGAAACTTATCAAATTACACATTTAAAATATGCATGGTATATACCAACCATATCTTAATAAAGTAGTATTTTTATTAGCTCTACTATGAAAAAAACAAAGGACTCCAAAATGAAAGAAGCCTGTCTGAAAAAGCTACATACTTTACTATTCCAAATATGTGACATTCTGGAAAAGGTAACACTCTAGAGACAATAAAAAGGTCAGGGGTTGCCAGAGGCTGAGGGGAGGGAAGGATGAATGAGAGAGGGAACACAGCAAAATTATTCTTTAGGTGTGCATCACTATGCGACTGTAACATGTACAATACAGAGTGACCCTTAAGGGTGATAATGACTGGACAGTGTAGGTTCTATTGTAACAAGTTGATCTTTGTGGCATGGGGCATCAGTAGCTGGAGTTGCAGTGCCAGTGTGAGGAAGGGTTGTATGGGACCTCTGCTTTCCAATTTGTAACTGGTCTAAAAAAATAAAGTTTTATTTATTTTAGGTGATACAGGGGTTGAACTTCGTTTTCACTTATTAAACAGGTGCTCAATCACTTGTACCATGTTCTAGGCCAAAAGATGATTTTTTTTTTTTTTTTGCCAGTGTTGGGGCTTGAGCTCAAGGCCTGGGTACTGTCCCTTAACCTTTTCAACTCTAGACTGGCACTCTTCTACTTGTACTCTCCACTACTTCCAGCTTTTTGGTGGCTAATTGGAGACAAGTCTGGTTCAGCCTGCCTAGGCTGGCTTTAATTACGATCCTCAGTTCTCAGCCTTGTGAGTAGCTAGGATTACAAGTGTGAGCCACCAGCACCCTGTGTATTTTTAAGTAATTATAATCAATTTTTTGCCAGAAACTTGGATAATTACATATTTTACATGTAAAAATTGGGAATGGGTAAGGAAAGCTGAGAGAGTACACATTTAAACTTTTTCTTTTTTCTTTTTGTCAGTTGTAGGGTTTGAACTCTGGACCTGGGCTGTGTCCCTCAGCTCTTAGCTCAAGGCTAGCATTCTACCACTTGAGCCACAGTACCACTTCTGGCTTTTTCTGTTTTATGTGGTGCTGAAGAATCGAACCCAGGGCCTCATGCATGTGAAGCACATATTCTACCACTGAGCCCTCTTCCTAGCCCCCACATTGAAACTCTTTAAAAAAATCATTTTGTTATATTTAAATAGTTACATGAAGACTTTCAATTTAACATGTCTATTCATGTGTACAGTATATCTTGACCAGTGTTACATTGAAACTTTTGACACTGATTCATATAAAAATAATAGAGTTGCTAGATGCTGGTGGCTCACACCTATAATCCTAGCTACTCAGAAGGCTGAGATTTGAGGATCAAGGTTCAAAGCCAGCCCAGACAGGAAAGGCTGTGAGACTCTAATTAACCACAAGAAAACTGGAAGTGGTGCTGTGGCTCAAGTGGTAGAGCTGAAGAGCTGAGGGATAGCGCCCAGGCCCAGAGTTCAAGCCCCAAAAACTGACAAAAAAAAAGCCAAAGTGGAGCTGTGGCTTAAGGGATAGAGCAGTAGCTTTGAAGGGGGTGGGGAGCATGGAAAGGCAGCTTAGGGGCAGTGTCTAGGCCCTATGTTCAGAGAGAGAGAGAAAAAAAAGGAATCTTTTTAAACTGACCTCATGCTCACTTTGCCAAAAATCGAATATATCTGTAATAATAAACTTTTTATAGCATGTCATAATGTGCTGAATATACATCCATTTTTTAAATTTTACACCCTCCTCCCAAGGTCTCTGAGAATTAGTTAAAGATGAGGAAAGTCTCCATTGTAAAAGCTCTAGGAAGGCATGAAGAGGATGGAGACAGCAGAAAGTCCTTTAGAAAGGACTAGCTTAGAAATGAGGTAAAGGATAAGGAGGATCACAGAAAGTATTAATGATTCTAGATTGTATAGTGATGTTGATAAATGTTCTTTATTTAAAAGTACAGATGAGGATGTAAAATGCACCAGTTTTCTTCAGTTTGGTGAAATTTACTGGTTCATTTCCTTACTGGGACCAAATTGAATAAAGTTACACTTTTAGAAACTGAACCAGATAAAACATGTTTAGCCAATAAATGTGTTCTTCCAGTGAACGTATTTGGGATGACTGGTGGGCGGGGAGGAGATATGCTTGGTAGAAGACTCATTTTTCTTTAAGGGTCAGGCATCAGGACCCCTTTCATAGACTGAAGAAAGGGAGCCATTTAAGAGGAAGAACATTGAAGTCTTAAGGGAAAGATAATTGATCAAATGTAATCTCAGAGGAAATGGGGGTTGGGACCAGGAGCAAAGGTGAGCTAGGATTACTCCAAAGAAGAGACGTCTCATTTCAGAAAGAAAAAGAAATACAGAGAGCATGAGGCTCTGATCTCCAGCTCTAGTACCACCACAAGCTACCTATATCCATGTGGAAAGTGAAGAGATTAAACCTGAATGGAGTAGAAAGGAAAGTGTGATGGAGAACTGGGGTGGAAGAGTGATGTGAAGTCAAAAGGGTTGAGAGTGGTAATGAGGCCACTAGTTAAACGGCTGGATCTTGGGGCTCCTGCATGAGTAAGGAAGAAAAGTCAAACCAAGCTGGGGCCTGATGTGAATGAATGTGAAAACTGAAGAGGATGAAGAACTTGAGTGAAGAAAGAATTAGTGAGGAGGACTGATGTCAGTAATGGGGTACTAGAGATGGGAAAATTAGGCATGTGAGATGTGAGAATCGGAGCAATCACAAGTTATGAGTCCAAATATAACAAGGTAGTGATTAGTTAATAGAGCTAATTAAATCAAAAGCATATAACTGGGAGAAAGCTAGGGAAGGGGTGACATTATTCAAAAAGAAATGTGCTCATTACTTGACTTATGTAACCCCTCTGTACATCACCTTTATACTAACAAAAATACGAAAAACCCCAAACGTAATACAGTAAAAGCTGTTTATCGGGCCCTTCATACTAGCCATCATATAATCCTGTAAGGTACATAATAGTATTAACATTAACAATGAGGAAATTGTCCAGGTGTCAGTGGCTCACACCTAAAATCCTAGCTATTTAGGAGGCTGAGATCTGAGGATCATGGTTCAAAGCCAATCAGGTAGGAAAGTCTGTGAGACTTATCACCAATTAACCACCCAAAAGCTGAAAGTGGAGTTCTGGCTCAAGTGGTAGAGCACTAGACTTAAGCAAAAAAAGCCAAGGGACAGTGCTCAGGCTGTGAGTTCAAGCCCTTGTGTGTGTGTGTGAGAGAGAGAGGGGGGGGGGAGAGAGAGAGAGAGAGAGAGGGAGAGGGAGGGAGGGAGGGAGAGAGTTAAATAACTGATTGAAGTCTGAAACTTGGGAATAACAGGAGTCTTTCTAGCTCATCTTTATGGCTGACTATTGCCCATGCTGGCCTGAAGGAGGAGTTATTAAACAATGTTTGACAAGAAATGTATCCATTACCTTACTCATGTAACTGTAACCCTCCTGTACAGCATCTTTGCAATGAAATAAAATAAAATAACAAAGAGGAAGTCAAAGATCTTTATATCTGGTGTGTTGAGATTACCAGTGTCTTTGTGTGTACATGCCTCTGTGTGTGTGTGTGTGTGTGTGTGTGTGTGTGTGTGTGTGGCACCTCACAAAGTCAAGAAAGAAGAGAGTTAACAGAGTGGTTGATAGTTTTAGAGACAACTCAGGAAAGTCAAATTAGATAGGGATTTGAACAATGCTTGTTGGAATGAATTTGGCAACTAGAATGTTATTGTTGATCTTGGCCTGATTGGTAGTAGACTGGTACGAGCAAAAGCCAGGCTGCAGTGCACCGAGAAGTGAAGTAAAATAAGAAGAGCACTCCATTATAGACTTCCCTTAAACAATCTTAAATTTTTTAAAAATGTCTTAGCAAGCTTTAGTAAAACAGGATAACGTAGGGAGAAATGGGAAAGAGAGAAACATTTCCTACTCTATTCAGGAAATGGGAGTGAGACTCCTTGAATAATCTTTTTTTGTTGGTGGTGGTGAGGCTTGAACTCTGGGCCGGGGCACTGTCTCTCAGCTCTTCAGCTCAAGGCTATTGTTCTACCACTTGAGCTACAGCACCACTTGGAGATTAGAGTCTCCCGGCCTTTCCTGCCTGGGCTGGCTTTGAACTGTGATCTTTAAATCTCAGCCTCCTGAGTAGCTAGGGTTACAGGTGTGAGCTACCATGCCCAGCTTCCTTGAATAATCTTAAAAGAGGTTTCAGAAGGATGAAGGATTTTTCTTTCTTTGGTCTTGATTTTCTCCTCCTCCTCCCTCCTCCCTCCTCCCTCCTCCCTCCTCCCTCCTCCCTCCTCCTCCTCCTTCTCCTCCGAACTTTAACTCAACTCCATATCTGATCAGTAGCTAATGCTCTACCAACTGAGCCACATCTCCAAACCCTTTCTTTTCAAATGTAGGCAAAGTAGGAGAGAGCCTAGGGGAGCATAGGGCTCTGCCCAATGATGTCTAGTCCCTTTCCACAATGTTGGATATGAAGCTGGGCTTTGTGTCTGCGCCTGCATATTCCTACAGCTTCCCAGAGTCCTGTGGACAATGACTGGGGAGATAAGCCATGCAGGAAACAGTATAAACAAACAAACAAATAAATAAAAGTAGGAGACAGTTGAGTATGGAAGCAGTAGTATCTAGTCAGTAACTTGGTTGCGGTTTGTAAGATGAAAGGAAGGAAGGTGTTATAAATCAAATAAGGCAAACTTAATTAAAATTTATCAACTACCACCATGGCTAGGAAGCATTTATTGAAGAGATGAAATTCTTAATTTGAATGACACTGGAAAATTTGTATTTGGAGTGTAGGATAGCTCCAGAATTCATTTCAACTCTAGTATTATTTTTTTGGAATGCGTTAGCCATGTCCCAGTGCAAGATTGTTGCTGGGATAAATTTGTTGTTTCTAGGGGGTTATTCTTCTTTTTTTTGGGGGGGGGGGTCCGGTTGTGGGGCCTGAACTCTGGGCCTGGGCGCTGTCCCTCAGCTCTTCAGCTCAAGGTTAGCACTCTACCACTTGAGCCACAGCGCCACTTCCGGCTTTTTTCTTTTTGCTTATGTGGCGCTGAGGATTGAACCCAGGGCCTCAGGCATGCAAGGCAAGCGCTCTACCACTGAGCCACCTTTCCAGCCCCTAGGGGGTTATTCTTATACTTATCTCCCTCTCCCTCTTTCTCTGTTTTTTAAAGTGAACTATCTTTTTCCTGTGGACATGACTCTGGTGGTAATGTCTACTTAGAAATATTTTCTGGTTAATTATATTTAAGTTTTTTTGTAATACCAGTAGATTCTTGGCTGAGTTCAGTGTTTAGTAATTTGTTAATTTAGCATAAGCAAAAATCTGTGTGCTTTTAAAGTGTTATGAACTTTTGAGAACAATCATAGTATATTAATTTTTTTCATCTCTTCTGTCCTTAACATTGATCTGATGAAAATGTGATTATTAGTTCCATGGGTCATTTGTATTAGCTCTGTAGATAAAAGAAGAATAATAGTCATGATTGTACAAATAATATTTGGACAGTATAGTTATTATTATATTGTATTTGGAGAGTGTGAAATTAAAACAGTGGAAAGAATGATTTCCTCTTTTTATCATAGTCATTTGGACTATTTGAAAGGGCAACCAAGCATATTTATCATATTCATAAAATGCATTCATTGTTATAACTTCTGGTTATTCATTCATTGAAGTGCAAAATGCAGTGTATATCTTGGCCACTGACAAAAGGAGGTTTTACTGGTGTAACTTGTAGAATGTATGGGTTCTATACCCTCTTTATGTGCACGCTTCCCCTGCTTTTTATGTTAGACTTTGTTTGACTTCACTGCATTATGACTTGAGGTTTATTGAAGTTAAAATCCATTGCCATTTTTTAATTTCCTCTTGGTGCTTCCAGTGACATTGATGTTGATAATTCTTTTTGAAATTTATTTTATTATTATTCTTTTTTTCTAGTATTGGGGTTTGAACTCAGGACCATAACTTTGCTTGGCTTGCTCCCTTAGTCAAGCTGCCAGACTAGCTGTTTGCTGGTTGTTTTGGATATAGAATCTCCTGGACTTTTCTGCCCAGGCTGATTTTGAACATCAGCCCCTGTGATGTAAAGGCTAATTGAGGGTACTGCTTACCCAGATAATGAAATGTTAGGATCTGTTTCCTTATGAATTGGACTGTCGTTTATGATTCCAATGAATCTGAGTGACATTTTTAGCTGTTAAAGGATTTGGATGGGAAGGAATAGAGACCATAGACAGGGTGACTAATACTAGTTAGAAGAGAGATTCTTGGGAATAAAGTTAAAAGAAGGACCAGATTCATGGTAATTACTAATCCTTCTCTAAACAGCCAGGTGCTTTGCTGTGCATTCTACAAGAGTTCTCTCATTTAATATTCAAAACTGTTTCAGCACTCTTATAAACTAAGTTATAAAACTAAGAAACTGAGGCTTAGAAATAGGAAATCAAATACTCAGTATTGCAGAGCTAGTGATAGCAGATGTCATATGAACCAGCAACCTGTCAAGAAAGAGAATTGTCTACACTAGATGAAGCTCTGTTCTAGTTTCTCATTTGATTAACTGGGACTGGGTAGAGGCCATAAACTGGAATAGTAATGAGGAAGAGGTCAGTTTTGTTGGATGGAGGAGTTGTTGGACACAGAATACTGGGAGATTGATGAACCTTAATCCTGGCTTCTGACATCCAATAACTTTCCAGCATTGGCCAACTGCTGACCTTAACTGTGTTTAATGTCCAATGAAACAAGTAAGGATAGCAATGTTACTTATGAGATTGTTCTGAGGATTGAACCAACTACTGTATAGTTGCTGAGAGCTTACAGTTGAATCAGATATATAGTAATGGATAACTATGGATATTAGCTACATTCCCATCAGCATTGTCATTATTCTGTAAAAATCCAAACTTTTGTTTTGAGGACAGATGATCTAGCCAGCATAAAACTTGTCACACATATCTTCCAGCAAGGAATAAAGCCAGGATAGACGATTTGCTTCGGTAGCCTTCATATATATGTGTATATGTATGTGTATATATATACACACACACACACACACACACACATATGTGTGTGTGTGTGTGTGTGTGTGTGTATGTGTTAATTAGTTTTCTCATTGCTGTGACAAAATGCCTGACATAAATAACTTACAGGGAGGAAAGAAGGAAAGATTTATTTTGGCTCACAGGTTCTGAGGATTCAGTCCATGAGGACTTGGCTCTTTGTACTTGGGTAGAGCATCATGGAAGTGAGAGCCCTAGAAGAAGAATTTCTTCTAGTAGACAGGAAGGACAAATAGGAGGGGGGAGGGAAGAGGGAGAAAGGGAAAAGGAGAAGGAGAGGGGAAGAGGAGAAGAAGAATTCAGAACAGACAAGATATAGTCCCCGAAGATGTGAACCCAGGCACTTATTTCCTCAGCTAGTTCTGCCTCTTAAAGATTCAGAACCTCCCCAAATAACGCCACCAATTGGGCATCAGGCATTCAACACATGACCTATGAGGAACATTTAAATTCAAACCATAATACTGTCCACTATAAAATAGATTTTAAGGGACATATATTAATAAAAATGTGATATATAAATAATATTTTTAATGAGCTTTCTGTTTTAAGTCATTATTTCAGAATCATTCAAATGAATATTGTTGAACACCTCAAGTATTTACCAAAAAGTTACTAGGTAAAACATAAGTTAACAGAGATCATCTTGCCTAATAAATAAGTAATCATTAAGAAACTCAGGCAAACACATAGGGCTATTTTTAAAGGGAATTTACCAGGATTTTTGTTTTTGTCAATTGATGAAATATTATGAATTGCATGTTTTGAGCACTAGTATTTGGTGAGGAAATTTTATGTTTTCTAACCAAGCTATAAGAAACAAAGTTTATCATTACACCAATTTTGCTTCTCTTTTCCTTTTTCTGTAGCATGCAGAGTCAGAAGCAGAAAATGTAAGACCTTCCTTGCATTTATGGCCATTGCTTTCTTGGAAACTGCATCATTTTTCTCTTGTACAGGGTCAACTTGAAATTATCTTTTTCTTCCTCAAGATAGCCCTCTTGGTTGTCATATGTTTAGCTGTGTTGAGCTTTTAGATAAAAATGTGCAGTTTACTAGCAATGTCTATTGCTGTGATGTGATCTCCTAGGGTCTACTTTGCTATCTGTGGAGTAGATGTTTTGGGAGGGAAAGCGAGGCTGCCCATAGCTCTGTATGACTGGCTAGAAACTGCTATATTCCTCACTTGCTGCTCTGGCCCTTTATTTTCACCGCAGTGTGATGCTGACTATGTACATATTTGATGGTTAGAACAGTCTGAAACTACCAAATAGAGATGAGTAAGCAGATTTATATATATTTGTTGAAATGTATAATAGGCAATAGATATTGGTTGAATTAATGGACTTTTGAAAAGGGAAACTGAAGTACATTGTGCCCCTATCCCTTATCACTGACTGGATATTTGATATTTCTTGAGAGGGAAACAGAGGGGCCAACTTCTTCCCCTATCAATGAGCTTGATTTTATGTATAATGGTTTATGTAATGTCCTTGGAGCACTGACTTATAACACAAAAATGAAAGATACTTTAAAATGCTCTTGTATGATGAGGACAGCCCCAAAGGTGAAGAATGTGGCAGTCATGAACTAATTTTGGGGTATACATAATGTAATTTTATAATCAAGAAGATAAATGCATGAAAATCCTAAGACTGAATGTACAACTTAATTCTGTGATCTTATAGGTGGGTAGTGGGTTGTGAAAATCAGCTAAAGCCAGCGAATAACTGTGGAACAAAGCGTCACTTAGGGAAAGCAGAGCCACGGTTTGCTTTCTTGTCTTTTCCAAAAGATAATGGGAATAATCAGTGGATCTGACATCGAGGCTGGGTTTGATCTACTATGAGTGCAAGTGATATTGGGAAAAGCCTTGTTTATTCGTGTCAGACATGAGTTGATATGAATTGAGTACCTTCTGATATAAGACAAAATCCCTGCTGTTAAGGAACTTGGCTTTTTCAGGCTTACAATGGATCTGTTGTCCAAAATAATGATCATCATGGTTACTCAACTGCAATGACCTTAACTTTCACTTCTTGAGAACCTATTTGCAAGGCCATACTTGGGATACTGTCATCACCTGCATTGTTTGTTGTAGAAATCTAAACAGGTCAACATTCTTCAGCCGTACATTGGAAAGTAATACATACTTGCTGATTACTTGTTGATTTTCTGCTATCTACCAACACTTGCACGGCTTCATTCTCTTTCCCTCCCAGTCAGTTTCCTTTTGGATGGCTCTAACCAGTATCTTTGATTCCCTTTCACTTCTCCCTCTGCCACTTCCACCCGTCCAGACTCCCACTTCTAGATCAGTGATGCAGTCTGCATTCTTCACTGTTAGACCCAGGCTGCTGAATCTTGTTGCAGAATCTGAACTGATACCATCAGAAATTCGTGGCTTTAACCCTCTGCTGATCTCTCAAGACCACTAGTAAGTACTCATCACTATTCTGTCCTACTGGATTGTCTCCCAAAATTTTTTCTAAATTA